CATAGAACCCCCAATCTTCACTCAACAATGTGATGGAATATAATGTAAATATTCACATTGTCGCATCAATGTCATACTTGTTTGTGTTGTTGGGTGTTGTTTGGTGCTGTTGGTTCCACCCTTTGATTTTTAGCCAATGATAACATAATGTGATCACTCATGTAAACATTTACATTGCCCTATAACATTTGTTGTTTTCGGAATTCATTTTGCAAACATAGATGATGTGAACATTCACAGTACTATACTGGGTAAACTAACATTAGTATACACTGTTGATTGTTGAATGTTGTTTGATGCTTTTGGTAAATGATGTGAATGTTGAGATTACTGTCACTGTTGATTGTTGAATGCTGTTTGGTGCTTTTGGTTCCATCTCCTATTTTTCAGCCAATTAAATGTTCTTATTTGAACACCCAGGTCTTCCCCATAGATTTGATGGCAAGCGGAAGAGAGGGGAATCCCATGCCAAAGCCAAACCTGATCAAATAGTTGTTCCTGAAGAAGTGAACATGAAAAAAGTTAACTACCGATCAAATTTAATTGGATTGGTCAAACTGTTAAAGGATACCAAATTTACAAGTGGCCAATTAAAATGCCTTAGAAAAACACCGTTTTGGCCATTATTTGATTGCTTGATCAATAATGAAGTCGACCTCAACCACTGCATGAAATATGATGATGCCATTGTACGTATAGTGTAAACATTCAAGCCATCTAGTGGGAGGTTTTACATTGGGGATAAGAACATCCAGATTTTTAGAAGCGATGTATCACTGATTTGGGGGGTGGACTGCGGCACCAAGTCGATGGACCTCTCTTCTGGTGCAAAACCAACAACCAGCATCATACACCGGATGTGTAAGGATGTTAGTCGGTTAAGTGCTACCAAAATACGAGAAATTCTGAGCGAAACATTAAAAGACACCAAGAAACAAGACAATGAAGAGGTCGCAAGATTAGTTTGCATGTATACATGCGTCAAGCTCTTCTTCTCTACATTCAGAGAAACAATTGGATGGGCTTTCTACTCATACATGGACCCATTAGACAACATGATCGAGTATGATTGGGCTGAGAGCATCCGGACAACCCTGATGGGTTCATTGGGCCAAAACTGTGGAAAACCAGGACGAGTCACCGGATGTGTGATGTTGTTAATGGTAAATCTCATAAAACTTATTCTATATTTAATATGAACATTACTGATGTGAATGTTCACATTATTGGGCAATGGAGTGGAAGTTGACATCAATGATGTAAACATTCACATTACTGTTCAGTAATGTACAAACACACATTAGTAGACACTGCTGTAAACATTCACATCAGTGTAGATTGATGTGATGGTAGCACCAAAACAAATGTGGAACATTCACATTACTGATGTGAATGTTCACATTACTGGGCAATGGTGTCGAAGTTGACATCAATAATGTGAACATTCACATTACTGTTCAGTAATGTATACATTCACATCAGTGTTAATTGATGTAAACATTCACATTACTAGCCACT